CTGTCTGGGTATGGCCAGGTAGTAGTTAATGTTAGTGAATGGGAGTAAAAAAGAAGGCAAGGCATCAAGAATATCATACCCTAAGAGCTAGAAGCAATGTCAAAGAACAAAATCAAAACTGACTTTCTTAAGGAATAGGGCTCAGGAAGGTCAAATAAGAGAAAACTTCCCAGTCAATCTTGTTTTAAAGTAAAAGCAATAAAGGAGATTTCTTTCTAAAATACTTGGAAAATAAGCCTATGATAATACACAACAATCATTTTTAAATAATTCCAGGAATTTGGAATAAGCAAGTTATAGGCACCATCAGTAGGTGATTAAAAGGACACCAGACACCAAGAAGAACTTACTGCCCAGTATTACTCCTGCCTACCCATTCAATCCCACCTTTTGAGATTCACTTCTTTGGTTTACTTCTATTCTCTTTCTTCAAGGTCCACCTCGAGAATACAGTAAGGGGGTAACTTAATTGGAGGTTATCCAGTCTTTACCACTCAACTGAAAACTGGCCTATCAGTTAAATTCTATTTAGGATTGCTAGCTGAGATAAGAGTTTTGAAAAGGTGAGAATGTTTCAAGAAAAGAAATGAAAAAAACTAATTCTGGAGCTCTTAGTAGGGCAGAATCATTCAATGCATGTACAAATCCTGGATTTACCACTTTGTAGCCAGAAACTATTCAGGCAAGTAACTCAACACCTCCGAGCCTCATTTTCTTCAGTGGCAAAATAGAGGTGACCTTTACAAGGATACAATCTAGTACATGGAATGCCCTTAGCATAATGTCCTGGAAGTGGAAGTTTTTGATTACTCCTATTTGAGATGTCACATGTCATCTTAGACTCCATCAAGCTCCCATCTTTGCTTTAGTTCTTTGAAGCATGACCAAAGCCTCAGGCTCAGCTTTTCATTTTCTCTCAGAGGCCACCTCTACTCATTCTGATTCTGGCTTTTCCTCTCCCCCTTCTCCAAGATCAACTGAAAAGGGAAATATTCACCCCAGATCTCTTTCTTGTAGCCCCCCCAAAATGGTTATGTCATTTGCTTCCCTTTTAGAGATTTCCTGTTGAGCAAAACAGTGAAACAGAGATGATAGGAGACCAAATTAACAAAATGGAAAGAGGATAGAGACCACAGAATCCTCAGTGTAGTGGCTGATCATTTGACTCAACTGGAAGGCCGACCTTGGGCTTCCATTCTCTTGACCCTGTAGGTGAAGGAAGAATAGGTTGACTGATGCATTCTATCCCAGGGCCATGTCTCAGGCTGAGGAGGAACAGCAATATACATCTCTTTGGCCTCCAAAAAGCAAATGGCATCCTAAGTGGCCCTACCCCAGGATTATAGGAAAACCATTCACCAGCATCTCCCTGCCAAGGCCAGCAGCCCTTGGGCCATTACTCCTCTGATGGTGCCATATTTGTGGCTCTGGGGGCCTGAAAAAGAAGAATTTATATTTGGTGAAAGAGAATAAGAGAGAAGTAGACAAAGGACCTTCAAAAGACTCTCAAGAGATACACTTGAGTTACTTCCTAGTTCTGCTCTAGGCTGAAACCTGCAAAGGGTCTAATCACTCCTTGATTTTCTATCATTTATGACTCTATTTTTAACAACCACAATAGCAAGAGTGTAGTAAGTCCAACACTTATTGTGTTCCAGGCACTGTTCTAAATGCTTGTTTCCATTAATTCTCAAAGGGAGGGGGAAAAATTCAACTCCCTTTGTGCTATTACCCATTTTACAGATAAAGGAATTCAAGTCATTATAAGGTGAATAATTTGCCTGTGATCCCACCCAAAGTAAGGGGAGAGCTAGGATTTGATCTGAGGCCTGACTCCACAGTCTACATTCTTTTCCATAATATTATGCTTTTTTAATAAATCCCTCCCTGCCAAGGAATGCCCTTCCTAATCTTAGCAGGATGTCTTCTAGAATTTTAGCTTGCTATTCAGTAAGAAAAGAGTAAGCACTCCCCAATGAATTTCCCAGATTTCTTCTACTTACTCTAGCTGAAGCATTAATTATTTCAATAGATATGCCTAAATTTCAAATGTGGCATTTGGATCTCAACAATGAAATATGATATATAAAGACTCGTGTACTTTGTAATGAAAATCAAAACTGGACTAGGAGATGCACAAAGAAGGCAAGCCAGGGCTGGGGTTGTGGCTCAGTGGTAGAGCGCTTGCCTAGCATGCAGGAAGCACTGGGTTCAATCCTCAACACCACATAAAAATAAATAAATAAAATAAAGGTATTGTGTCCACCTAAAACTAAAAAATAAATATTAAAAAAAAAGAAGAAGAAGAAGGCAAGCCAAGGGCTAGAAGTTAATTCACATATTCTCAGCCCTTTATTTGATGCCAACTGGGTCAGATTTCTACATGAATCTTCCTTTTGCTCTCAGCTCATGGATTTTGTGGGAATCTGTGTATTTTATTAGCAAGAGAAGTAGAAACAGAAGATTAGCACAAAGGAAGCTGATTTTTTTTCTCCCTTTTCTCATACATTTTTGTATAAGTTTGTTATCTTCAGGATTATAATATTTTCAATATACAACTGTTGTTACTTGGTTGTAATGATCTTCAAGACTAGGCCAGGTCTCAGTAAATGGAGGAGAGCCTTCTTAGACTCCTTGCAATCTGTAACCTTGAAAAAGAAAGGGAGTTTTCTGTATTGGTTGATGTGTTCTCCTATTTCATCATTCATCAAAATATCACTGGGGAGAAGAAAGTCCAAAGAGGCTGCACCACAGGGACCTTGGCCCCTGGCATTTGCCTGCCTCCTTCATTTTAATCTGCATTGTCTTTCCCTTCTACCTGCTCCCGAGCAGAGACAAACCACAAGCTGCAGCTTGAGAGGAAATTCTTGCTTGCCACTCCCATGGAAATCAGTGATCCTGGGAGACCATTCTGAAGCCACAACCAGGTCAAAAATAATGCTCCATTCCTGGCCTCATCTTGCCTAACTAACATCCCCTATCTCCCAGTTGGCTAGGCAGCTCACCTCTCAGCTGTTTACTCAAGTCTACTTCATAGAGAAAATATTCATTCCTTTTGTTCTAATAAAATTTCATCTGATTTTTCAGGTCCCAAGACCAAAGGAACTTCCATAAAATTTGCCCCAATAGCACTTATCTAATGCAAATGAAAAAATTAACATTGGGAATTTTTTCAGACTTTCCTAAGCCTATTTAATAAAAGCCTATTTAATAAAATTAAATATAAAATATATTGTTCTCTCTACTTGATTGCAGAAATGTTTTTTGAGCAACTATTACAAATTGGGTACCAGTCTAGACTGATAGAGCACCAAAGCAAAAGTCATAGACCTCACCCTTAGCAAGAACAGTCAACTAAAAATGGAAAAAAAAAAAAAAACTCAAATGGCTAAACAACTCTTACATATACACAGCCTGCTATCAGAAGCAATCATCAGACATTTTCCACTACAATACTGAAATATGCCTGTGATACGGCATTAATCTCATCTTAAAGGCCTTATTCAGTCATCCCTGAATTTGTTGACTTCTTTTGCATTTCTAGAATCCAGGCAGAGATGATAGTGATGTCTATTAAGATATCATGGCAGAGTGTTCTCTTTCTCCAGGAGGCAAGCAGGGAAGAGTTGCCATTATCCATTGCACACATGGAAAGTTCCTCATCCAAGCAGTTGTGGCCCTGAAAAGACTGAGGGCCATGCTGCAATTTTGCTTTGGTGCCAATGAAGAGCCTGCCTCCTGTTCTATGTCCTTCATTGGCACCTTCTCACATGTCTTTTTTCTGTTTATGTACATTCTCTTGACAACAGAAGGGGCCTGAAGGCAAAAGTCAAATTCAACAGGTCAGGGGAGGCAAACGCTAACTTAGAGGCCCTCCTGCTGTCAGGTTTCACTAACATGAGTGTCCTGTAGTACCCAGTTAACTAACAGTAATTTTTAATGGGTGAAGGAAATCACAAAAACTGTCACAGCACTCAGCAGAATATAGCAAAGGCATGGCCCCAGGAACTTACAAACATATAGGTGAAGCACTGACATACATGAATGCATTCAAGTCTAAGTGAGAGAAACAAAAAGCTGAGGTTTGAGGAGATGAAAGGGAAATTAAATTTTAGAGATAATGATAACTTACCCACCCCCAAAAATGAAGTAAATCCATAGCAGTGCACATAAATTATATTGGGAAAAACATTATAATATCCTCTTGACTTTTATTATTTTATTTAATTCTCCTAGTCACCATGCTCAGTAGGTCTTTTTATCACCTCCATTTTTACAGAGGAGGAAATAGGGTCAGAAATACTAATTTGCTTGAGGATCCACAGGGAACAAGGGACAACATTTGAGCCTAACATGAAATCTTCCACTCTTCCATGCTGATACTGGCACACGGTATCAAAAGACTGAAGAGGAGGGTCCTCTTCCATATTCCTGAGAATAATGTGGAAGACTCCAGAAGAAAGCCTGTGTTAGTCAGTTTTTCATTGCCGTAACCAAAATACCTGACACCAACAACTTAAAGGAGGAAAGGTTTATTGCGGATCATGGTGTAAGAGGCCTCAGTTCATGGTCAGCTGTCTCTGTTGCTTTGGGCCCGAGGCAAGGCAGAACGTCATGGTAGAAGAGTTTGGCGAAGGAAAGCCACTTCACCCATGGCAGTCAGAAAGTGGGAAAGAGAGACAGAGAAGAAGGGGTTGGGACAAAATTAAATTCCTGTAGGCATGTCCCCAGTGACCTATTTCTCTACCCATGGCACCTGTCTAGAGTTTCTACCTCCTCTCAGGAATCCATTCAGCTCTTAATGGATTCATCCACTGATAAGATCATGAGATCAGCACTCTGATAATCCAATCAACTTCCCCAAAGGCCCATCTCTGACCCCTGGTGCACAAGCCTTCAACACATGAAACTTGAGAGATGTTCCAGATTCTAACCATAACAATGGCTAATGAAAAGCAAGTGCAGGGCTGGGGCTGTAGCTCAATGGTAGAGCACCTGCTTCGTATGTGTGAGGCACTGGGTTCGGTCCCCAGCACCACATAAAAATAAATAAATAAAGATATTGAGTCCATCTACAACTAAAAAAAATACTTTAAAAAATAAAAAAAAAAGAAGAAATAAAAGTAAAGTGGAATGGCAAAGGGGAGGAGTTACTTGAGCATATAGAATAGGGTAAAGAAAGGGGCAAGATAAAGAATATGGAGAGCAGATGGTCAGGGGGTGATAAAAGGACCCCTGGTTTTACTCAGAATTTGGTTGCTCTTGTGTCTGAGTTTCTCACCTTTCTGCCTTCTTGTGATTATCTTCTTCTTTCTTCCTTCCTTCCTCCCTGCTTCTCCCCTGGAGAGCCTCCCTGGGATATCTTCCCATAGCAGAGCATATATGTGTGGCCAGATGTTAAATGCAGCTCTTTTTATCTTCCTGTTCCCTCAAACTTTGGGCAGAGGACCCTGAAGAAATAAAACCATAGTTCAAATCATGCTAGACCATCCTTTCAAGACTTACAAGTGTCAGGGGTGACAGGATAGAGACAGGGCCCTGAACCTACCTTTAACCCATATAAGAAATACAAGTTGGAGGGTCAGGAGAGAGGATTTCTTTGAAGAGAGTTGCCAGAGTACTGTGCAGTTCCCATCTCCACCCAAACCCTATGCAAGAGGCTAGAAAGAGATAATTTGAGAGCTTGGCCTGCACTACCTAGAGTCTGAAGGCCTAAGAGACTGGTCTATAACTTAGACTTCCCTATCAAAATACGTCCCATGCACATATTATATGTCTAACAAATATCTGGCAAATGATTAATTGGATGATTGGATGAGAAAAATGAATGATGATTTATAAAAGTGAGAGTTATGAGTAGAACCAAAAAGAAAAGACAGGGGGCTGGGGTTGTAGCTCAGTGGTAGAGCGCTCCTAGCACATGCAAGGCACTGGGTTTGATCCTCAGCACCATATAAAAATGTAAAAAAATAAAATAATGGTATCTTGATCAACTACAACTAAAAAAAATATTTAAAAAAAGAGAAAAGACAACCATGTTAGGTAATGACAGTGACAGAATATCCACAAACTGTTGCTCAAAAGTTTATGGAATGAATGAATGCAGTGAGAAAACCAGGGCAATGTTGATGGGACAGAGTTTTGCCATATTAGATAGGATTTGTCTAATGGAAAAGTCCACAATGGACTGCAGCATGTTCATGTCCTCTTTCAAGAGTCCTGGCCTCAAGTCAGTCCTTGAGAAGACCAGAGAAAACACAGGCAGCATTAAAGATGAAAACAAACAAATAAACAAATCTCCGGAGCTAAAAGTCACCTGAATCTAGTTAAGGAAAGATTCTAGTTCATGAGTCCTTATATATTTGCCTCTGTTCTTCCTGTCATTCTTTCTTCTACTTCTAATTGTTCCCCCTCCACCTTAGTCTAGTTTTAAACGATAGCATCTGGCAGTAGAAAGGAGATATTGACTCACTTTCCTCTCTGATTAGCAATACTGAGAATTTTCTGTAGCATCCCAGGGCCAAGCCCCAAGAAAAATGTGCCCACCACTGTTCCCAGCATTTGAGTAACATTTGTCTGCACACATCAGCTCCTCAAACCTGGTGCAAATCCTCCATTCTAATGAAGGCCTGCATTTATGATCTTTCTTTTTTTTTTTAAGAGAGAGTGAGAGAGGAGAGAGAGAGAATTTTTTAATATTTATTTTTTTTAGCTTTTGGCAGACACAACATCTTTGTTTGTATGTGGTGCTGAGGATCGAACCCGGGCCGCACGCATGCCAGGCGAGCGTGCTACCGCTTGAGCCACATCCCCAGCCCTTATGATCTTTCTTAATGCTCCAGAACCAGTTCCTGAATCACAGACCCTGCCTGTATCTGTGCTCCATCACACCCCATAATAAACAGGGTGCTTCCATCAACACTCTCACACAGCCACACAACAAGAGAGAAATGCAGACACTCACGCACACACATGCATCTCAAAGACTAAATCCAAATGACAATCCTCATGGAGGACTATGAATGCCCTTCACTAGAATAGATTGCCTGGGCTTCCTAATGTCACCATGAAGGAGGATGATCAAACTAGGTTCTAAGAAGTGAACAAAACCAAATCCCACCATACTTCTAATATCCAGGTTATCAAATAAAAGCAGCCAGGGTAAACAAGTCAGGCTATGGGATTTTCCAGATCTATTTATTCAGTCTGATTTGGCATAGGGAGGGATTCTAAGGCAAGGAAATTCCAGAAGGCCCCATACGAGAAGCCAAGCCTTTGATATAAATTTCTGTCGCTCCTCACTTCCCCATGCAAATCTCTCATCACTCCATCCAAATAACTTTCAAAACCACAGCTTCCTCTGTGCCTTGCACTAAGAACATCTGTATACTTCTACTGGGCTAAGCAGCGTACTAAGTACCTGCCCTCCTCCCTGTTGTTGGGAGAGAAGGAGGGCTGAGCCCATCAATAGCTTGGTTCAGTTTGCTTCTACATGGGGAGGGGAGGATCAAAGAGCCAGAAATATTCATTTATGAGGGAAAAGTAAAAGAATTAAATATGTAGAACTTGGCCAAACGATGTCTGAAGGGGGATATAAATACCCACAAGCATTTGAAGGGTGTAACTAAACACCACAAAAATGACTTTTTAAAAAAGATGCTTCAAGTGGCTGTAACTGGGAAAGACTAAAGGAGAGGAAACTCTGACCCGAGAATTAAGGAAATTCTGCCTTCGGCAAGGGCTACTACAGAGGGAGCTGCTGCCAATAGACCCTAGGTTAAAACTTCTACTCTCTAGAATTTTGTGATTTTCTCATTTCCAATCCATTTCTCAGATGCCTTAGTTTGGGCTTAGAAATATATGTTTGAGAGTTGACCTCATGTCTATTTTCTATGCATGTTGTGCATGTATTTTGTTTCCTCCTGTGTCTCTGTTTTCTATGTACTTTTTTGCAGGTAATCCCTAACAGCATAAATGTGTCAATGGCCTGGTGTTGTAGCACCTATGGAAGCAGGTGAACATTAGTTTTTTAGAACAAATAGGATTAGTAATGGTGACTTTAGAAATAAGACACCAAAGGATCCCTGCATTTTGGTGGCTTTGATACCTCAAGCGGATCTAAAATTTTGGGACAGACCTAGATAGTTCTCCAAATTCTCCAGAGGGAAGAGGAATGGAGTCAGATGAACATAGTCAGAGAATGTATCTTAGCAGTTTTCTCCTGAGACACACTATATGGCAAGTCCTTCTGGAATTTCCAGACGAAAAGAAATCTGTATGGTGAGAACAGCTTTGCTGAGAGTCTTTCAACACATTTAGTCCCAGATGGGTTCAGTGTAAAAGCGAAAATTATTTTTTTAAGGAGTGAAGAAATCTCAACAAAGGTTTGGTCTGAATTTAAACTAGAGGTGTAGGCCTCTCTGTCACATGAGGGGTTTACAAGGGGCTCTATGCTTCAATTATAAGTCCTTACTTCATCCGTGTTCTAAGGGAAGCACTGAATTGGATGGAAGTCTGTAGAGTCCAAATCCCTCCATTTAAATAAATACCCAGGTGACCTTGAGTAAGTCAACTCTCTTCTCTTGACAAATATATATATATATATATATATATATATATATATATATATATAGAGAGAGAGAGAGAGAGAGAGAGAGAGAGAGAGAGAGAGAGAAATAATTAGACTGAATCAGTGGGATTTTATTTTTAACTTTTTTTCTTAGGCAGCAGAGTCCCTTTTAAAATATATTACACAGATGTTCAATAAGCTAGATAAAAATGTAACCTTTCTGATTAAGGCAAAACTGAGTGGCCCAGAACCTTGACCACCTACACTCTGCTCTGCAGATCCCAACCTCCAGTCTCCCTCAGGGATCCCTGAGGCATCTCATGGGACATCATTCCTCTCCAAGTAGAAGATTTTGAAAGACACTGGATTCCCTGCTCCCTCAGGTCTTTTCCAACTCTAGTTGCTTGTGGGCTTAAACATCAGCAAGCAAAGAAACAACCTGGGTGGCCGTGATGTGACTGATCTTAAAGACCCTGCTGATGAACAGCAGATTAAAATGACTAAGGAAGGAACTGGTGGTTCAAAGTTTCCTTTAAGATTCAAGATCTAAAGAAAATAAGTCCAGAACAGACGTGCAATAAGAACAAGAAAGTTAGCCCTCTCTCGCTCTCTCCCACCTCCCCTTTTTCCTCCTTCTTCCCTTCTCCCCCCTCCCCTTTTCCATCTTCCTCAATCTCTCTGGACCAAGGCCCAGCAAGGGTCTAAAGGCCTGACATAGTATCTCATGGGATATAACCAAGGAAAATACATGTCCAGGTAGACCTCTGAGAGCCTCTAGACCAGGTGCAGAGGACAAGCCAGGAGGAAACTCAGATGCTTTCTGGATTTGGGGTTTCTATGACCTCAGATGTGAGTGTGCTGGGAAGAGAGGAGGAAAGCCCAGGACAATCCAGAGCAAAGAAGGCTGAAGATCTCCCTCCCCACCAAAAAAGCCCCCTCCCAGTTAGCTTCAGAGGAAAAGGAGCCATCTATCAGTCATCCAGTTTGAAGGTGATAATCTTACTAAACACAGTTGATGGTCATGCCCAACCCCTCAGAGGACAATTTTGTAATACCCATCAAAACTTTAAAAGTGCATACCATTTAACAAAGACCTTCTACAAGATTATTTTACAGTGTACTTGTAAGATATTCTTTTGTGCACATGTGCAAAAAATATCTCTGCAAATATGTCACTGAGGCTGAGTGTGGTAGGTACACACTTAGAATCACAGCAACTCAGAAGACTAAGGAAAGAGGATCCCACTTGCCCAGCATAGGCAACTTAAAGAAACCTGCCTCAAAAGATAAAAGGTATATCACCCTTGCATTCAATCCCCTTGTTATACTTTAGATATGAGGTGTTCCCCAAAAGCTCATACGTGAGACAATGCAAGAGAGTTTAGAGGTAAAATGTTTGGGTTATGAGAGTCTTAACAATCACTGCATTAATCCACTTGGATGGATTAACTGGGTAGTAACTATAAGCAGGTATAATGTGGCTGGAGGAGACAAGTCATTGGGGGCATGCCTTTGGGGTATATATTTTGTCCCTGATGGGCAAAGCTCAGTCTTTTTCTGCATCTTGAAGCCATGTTCTGAGCTGATTTCCTCCTCCACATATTTCCACCATGATTTTGTGTGACATCTTGGGCCCAGAGCTATGCAGTTGGCCATTCTATGAACTGAGACCTCTGAAACTGTGAGCCCCAAATAAACCTTTCCTCCTCTGAAGTTGTTCTTGTCAGGCCGTTTGGTCACAGAAGTGAAAAGCTGACTAAAACACCGCAGTATTGCAAGGGGGAAGAATAAAAGATGTTACTGCAGCATGATGGCAATCACAAAAGACTGAAAATTACTTAAAGGTCAATTGATTAAAATGGGATAAATATATTTAGTTTT